TTTTAGTAGAGACGGGGTTTCACCATGTTGACCAGGATGGTCTCGATCTCTTGACCTCGTGATCCACCCGCCTCGGCCTCCCAAAGTGCTGGGATTACAGGCTTGAGCCTCCGCGCCCGGCTGCTCATGGTTTCTTTTGTCTGGAATGGTGTCCTCCTTTTATCCTGGCTAAGTCCAACTCATGTGTTAAAGGTGCGCTTAGGGATTACTTCTAGGAAATCTTTTCTCAAGTACGCCAAAGCCTCCCAAGGCAGGGAAGGGAAGGGGATCTCTCTCTTTTCTTTCCTTCTTCTTTCTTTTCTCTTCCTTCCTTTTTCTATTATTCTCCTTCCTTCCTTCCTTCCTTTATTTTTACGGAGTCTTGCTCTGTCACCCAGGCTGGAGTGCAGCGGCGCGATCTCGGCTCACTGCAACCTCAGCCTCCCGGGTTCAAGCGATTCTCTGACCTCAGCCTCCCAAGTAGCTGGGATTTCAGGCGTTCGCCACCACGCCCGGCTAATTTTTTGTACTTTAATAGACAGGGTTTCACCATGTTAGCTAGGATGTCTTGATATCCTGGCCTCATGATCCCGCCTCGGCCTCCCAAAGTGCTGGGATTACAGCAGTGAGCCACCGCGCCCGACGGGATTTTAGTTTTTCTACTGCTCACTCCCTTAACCACATCCAAGGGCAGGGACCACATCTTATTTTCTTCCTGCCTTCAGTGAATATTTATCTAAAGAATTCAGCCTCAGGTTTTCCAGAGGACAAGCAGTTAAGTCAGAAATTACCACTTAGATTCTGGTAGGGCTCTAATTCAAATGCAAAGTTCTTAAATATCGTGACTTTAATAGAGTTTTTTAGAGTTTGCACAACAATTCTCATAAAGCTACTCTTTATGTCCTGGGGCAGGAGTCGCAGAAAGCAAATGTTTTTAAACTGCGAGCTAGAGAGGAACTAGAAAATCATGGCATAGAGATAATAGTCTTAAGAAGGGAGTCAACAGCCAGCAAGACCCTGCTCTACAGAGAAACTCCACCCTGGCACTGCGGACCCCGCCCGCACAGTCTGCGGCGCACCGAGCCTTCTCACCTCCAAGACTACAAATCCCGGCATGCCTCACAGTGAGTGGCAGGACGCAGGGCATGCCGGGACGCGTAGTCCCATTCCAGTTCAGGCAAAGGCCAGAACGTCCCGTGACGTCAGGAGGGCTCGGGAAAGGGGGTCGGAACCGGTCCAGGCTCAAGTTAAATGTTCCTCTAAAGAACAAATCCTGTCTTTTCTGGCGACTCGGTTCCTACTCTAAACAGGACCCGCCCCGCAGTCTGGGCGGGCCTATGGTGTGCGTTGAGTAGCCTTTCGGGTGAAACCTTCATGGTTAGAAGGAAAGTAACGAAGGCAAAAATAGCTTTCAAGACACGGGTTTGTTAGAGTAGTGGTACGCAGGGCGCTGCCCTAAACGGGGGCTGAGACGCCGCTTTCCCAACAGCGCCAGTGAGTACGTGGCAGGACTGCCTCAGACGGACGCTTCCTCTTCCTCAGCCCGTCGGGTTAAAGGCGCGGGCGGCGCAGAGGCTGCTGGGAACGCGCATGCGCGCAGCGCGGCGGGGAGTCCACCTTTAACGTCCGCGGGCGCTGGGGGTGTCGGGTGTCGGCGGCGGCGCTTTGCGGCCGGTCGTGCGGGTCGGGCGCGGGCGGGCGCGGCGGCAGTGGCGTGCACAGGTGATTGACTGGCCAGCTGCCTGAGGGAGCGCCCGGTCCTTCTTGCTGGCAGGTGGCGGAGCCCATTGGGGCAGCCGTGCAGACGGCGGCAGCGGCGGCCTGGCTCAGGAGGCGTTCCTGGGGCCAAGGCCATGGCCCCGCGGCTGCAGCTGGAGAAGGCGGCCTGGCGCTGGGCGGAGACGGTGCGGCCCGAGGAGGTGTCGCAGGAGCACATCGAGACCGCCTACCGCATCTGGCTGGAGCCATGCATTCGGGGCGTGTGCAGGTGAGGCCCGCGCATCGCGCCTCGCGCCGGACCTTGGAAAGCCTGGGCGGGGTGGGGGGAAGGAAGACGGCAGCCCTTTGCGTGCATTTGGAAGGCGCGGAGCCGAGCAAGGTGGAGTTTCCCTTTTTGCGCTGTCTGCGCGACCTGGGAAACGCAGCTTTCCTGGGCTTTGCGCGGAGGTGATGCTGGCGAAAGCCCTTTAGGAAGGGTTTTGGTTTCCCATCCAGAAGATGGCGGTGGAGATGAAGGCAGGAGCCGAGAGCTTAGCAAGCGTTGATGGTTGGGGTATCTTGGCCACAGCATGGCTCTTTCGTTTGTAAAAAGGAACTTCTTGGAAGTGAGCTTCATCACAGGGTGTCTTGTTGATGTTGACACCGAAGGCCTGATCATCTTAGTATTATTTTTGGAGCGGGCAGCTTTAGAAAAAACTGTGGTCAAGCCGACGTCATCGATACCCTGCAACCTTGTTGACCTTCCCTCACTCGTTAATCTAGCATTTTTCTTTTTTTAGTCTTCTTTGATCGTTCTGGTTCGACACCACTTTACTGAGTACCAAGTTTGAGCTGTGAAAGTGCTGTCCTTCACGTGTGCCCCGCCCTTGAACCTTGCCTTTCCTTAGTCCCCTCTTGTAGATTGATTTCTTATGCTTTGCTCCCGTTTCTTCCCCCCTTTCCACCTTGTAACGCGGGAACGATATAGTTTTCGTTTCAGAATGTTGTTGAATTGACTTGGCCAAGCCGGGCATGCTCAGTATCCGTCTTTCGGCAGGCATTTAGGAAATGCTTTCTGGAGTTTAGGCATTTAGGAAATTCTGCTGGGAGATCCAGAAGGAATGGAAGTCATGGTCTCTGGCTTTGGAGCTTAAAGTCTAGTCTGAGAAGTGAAATAAGTTAGGGAGCTTTTGTAAAGCAAACGAATAAGTCCAAGCTCTGGATATCTATCTCACAAGGTGGGTACCTCTGACTTCAACAGTAAGTTCAGGAATGGCTGAAGTCTGTGTATAATAGGAATAATCAAGCTTCAGTCAATTTCTCAACGTAATTAGGTTATAGACTAACCAAATAGTGTAAACTGTTAATAGTTCTGGTGGTTTTTGGGACAAGGTCTCACTCTGTGCTCCAGACTGGAGTGCAGTGGTACTCGGCTTACTGCAGCCTCCACTTCCCAGGCTCAAGAGATCGTCCCACCTCAGCCTCCCTTGTAGCTGGGATTGCAGGCATGCGCCATCATGCTCAGCTGATTTTTTTGTATTTTTGTTAGAGACGGGATTTCACCATGTTGACCAGGCTGGTCTTGAACTCCTGGCCTCAAGTGATCCGCCTGTCTCTGCCTCCCAAAGTGCTGGGGTTACAGACATGAGCCACAGTGCCCAGCCATAAATACAATATTTTTTTAAAAAAAGAAGATTTAGGCCGGGAGCAGTGGCTCACGCCTGTAACCCCAGCACAGATTCTGGGAGGTCGAGGCAGGTGAATCGTCTGAGGTCAGGAGTTCGAGACTAGCCTGACCAACATAGTGAAACCCTGTCTCTACTAAAAATACAAAAAATTAGCTGGGCACGGGGGCGGGCGCCTGTGTAATCCCAGCTACTTGGGAGGCTGAGGCAGGAGAATCACTTGAACCCGGGAGGCGGAGGTTGTGGTGAGCCAAGATAGCGCCATTGTACTCCAGCCTGAGCAACAAGAGCAAGACTTCGTCTCAAAGAGAAAAAAAAAAAAAAAGAAAAGAAAAGAAAATTTAATGCTTTGTTGATTTAAAGAAAATTATCCTTGGTATTTTAGTGCGGAAATACATCAAAGCGTGACTATAACTATTTTTTATTTATTTTTTTGAGATGGAGTTTTGCTCTTGTTGCCCAGGCTGGATGCAATGGCACGATCTTGGCTCACCACAACTCCATCTCCCAGGTTCAAGCAGTTCTCCTGGCTCACCCTCCCAAGTAGCTGGGATTACAGGCATGTGCCACCACGCCTAACTAATTGTGTATTTTTAGTAGAGACGGGGTTTCTCCATGTTGGTCAGGCTGGTCTTGAATGCCTGACCTCAGGTGATCTGCTGGCCTCGGACTCCCAAAGTGCTGAGATTACAGGCCTGAGCCACTGTGCTAGGCTGACTATAACTACCTTTTTTTTTTTTTTTTTTT